GCAGTCTTGAGCTGTACCACGCGATCTCTCTCCTACAGTTTATCATCTGCTTTAGTGGAAAGTTAAATTTTCCTGGATGGTCATTAACATTTTTCAGACTGGACTATAAACTTCGCAGCAATACAAAAATGTTTATATTTTTAAATGATTTCATAAAAAAAGATTCAAAATCAATAAGCTCTATCAACTCTGAGTACTAAGTCTCATTACAAATAGCCCAGGCTTGGTACCTATGACAACAAAAAAAGAGAATAAACTCTTAAAATGCCTTACTAGGTTACTACCATCTTTTTTCCTAAGATCTCCTCAACCTAGTTCTGCTCCAGTTGTTCTGCATTTGTATATGTAATGTTAGTCTATGTAAAACTGATCACTATGCTTTAATTAAATTGGCTTTTCTTCTAGACTAATACTTTTAAAATATTCTTGATGAAAATAGTTTTTATTCTATTATTCTTTAGTTACAATGTTTTTGCCCAGTTACGTTGCCTAGTTTGACATTTTCTTTTACAGCTCCATTTGAAGAAATACTTATTCAGAACCATTTTTCCCAGTTAAGCAGAGAATTCTGTCTCCAAAGCAAAAGTTATGTGAATCTGAATATGGTACACGTCTTATCTCTAAAGAAGTACGCTTAAATTATCAACAGGCTTTGACCAGCAATATATTTCAATTTGCAATTTTTATATTACATTAAGTTCATTATGAAATAAACTTTTAAATAAGAAACTCACAGCTGTGTAACAGCTCCATTTAATAAAGTATAGAGAGAACATCATCAAAACTCTTGCTTTGTGCAATTTGTGAGTGTGTGTGCGTGTGTGTGCGTGTGTGTGTGTCTGTCTGTGTCTTTTTCCTCATCTAATTTCATCTGCGAGAGACTGTCCCTAGAGGACAAGAAAAGAGAGAACCAATTATATCCAGAGGCTGGTTTCTCCAAAATGAAGGCATCTGTTCCATGCCAATGACTTCCACATGGAAGAAAAACAGAACTTTGAAGGCATCTGTGTTCATGGTTGACAGTCACAGATCTTAAGGTCTACTGTAATTGCCCAGCTGCAAACATGATTTGGTTGCTGCTGCTATTGTCAGCTGATCTCATCACACACAGAAAAGAAGAGAACTTATGCCCTTAAAAAAATAAAAATCAGTTACTATTATAGTATCCTGCTACCTCCTTCCCTTAGGATGGAAGTGCTGTACTTTTAATGGTACAGCTGCTTTTCTTGGTAGAAATTAAAGTGCAAGTATTTCAAAAAAGTAGGAAAATTATTTTATTGCACAAAATCTCTGCCTAGATACATTACTCTTAAATTTACGAGATGCTTGTCATCTGCTAGTGTTTCACTGTGGCACTTCATAAGCTTTATTCAGAGACCAACCACTTAAACCTGCAACTGACCTTACTTAGAAAAATAGTCTTAATAAGATCAGTAAGACTGCTCACCTGAAGCAGCACCCTGGGATTTCACTCCAAATTTATAAGATCTTCAAAAAACTGATATGATCTTCATTATTTAAATCAAAGCACTTTCAATGATCTCAGACACTTTACAAAAGATTTTTTAAAATGCGATTTACTGGTGGTGCAAAGTCAGACTATATTGAACCTAATATTTGTAGAGGTTTACACAACAATGCTGTCACTCTTCACTATTAAAAACTGAACA